GCGGTTGAACCGAGGTTAAACCACGGCCTAACTCGGTCTGACAGAGACCGCGAAGGTATTTTTCCTTTGCGGTCGTCTGCGGTTTCTATTGGTCGAACGCAACCAGGACCGAATCGCAACGTAACCGCAACCGAACCGCGATCGAATTGCAACCTAACCGCAAATGAACCGCAACCGCAGGGTTACCCACAGGTTATTTTTGTTCAGTACTGTAGACAAAACTGGTATCAAATTTTTCAATACCCTCACCCATAAACTCGACAATTAATAATTCTACATCATTATCAAATCAGTAATTTTTTTTATTCCATACAAAATATCAGTCTATTGTTGCATACGACCGCTTCCGATTGGTTCAACGCTAGCTATCAAAAACATAAAAGAATTATTTCAGTCCACAAAATTAATGCCTAAAAAACGTAGCTAACATGCACACATGCATGTTAACGGAAAGATTTTAAGCATATTTGGCGCGTGTTTTGGAAATCGAAGAATCGGTTCGCCCTTTCAGTCTTGTTCGTTGTTCAATTCTACCGAAAATCTGTGTAAACGTCATCAGCATCAGAAACGAGGCTGTTAGTTTGCTTCATAAAATCTTATTTATATTTCACGATATCTCAAAATCGTCTCACGCTTCGTTGAATCTCGGGCAAACAACAACCTGCGCAATGATGTAAACAGCCCCTAAGTTATATTCTAAGTATACTGTTGACAACAATCATAAAATGCACTAGCATTTTTTACTTATGCATCTTTGTTGTCAAGAGTGCTTTTCTTGGGGGGACACACTGTATATATAGGAAATTTGTCCCTGGAATAGGACTATGTGCACACGGTAACGTTTTCGAGCGTTTTCATTTTCGTTTTCATGCCAAAACGGTTTGAAACACCGTCAATTTACAATAGAAGTTGAAGATAAACTTATAAGAACTTATAAGATAAAGCATATTTTTCCTTGGAACGTGTAGACAGGGCGTCAAAACAATAAAATGGACAAAAACGATTTTGAAAACGCTCGAAAACGACGCTCGTGTGCACATAGCCTAGATTACACATATACGCGTGATTCTATAGCATTTCTACTTCATGATAAACTTCACTCCCATTCTCCCAAACACCCTTCGTATGTTCTATACTGACCCGAATGCCAGTCTAAATATTGTTCATACCACTTATTAACCCAATTTGAGGTCCGTACTAGAAAAATATCAGACCGAGGTGGCTTGACAGACCGAGGTCTGATATTTTTTCCAGTACGGACCGAACGTATTCGGTTAATAAGGGATTTATTATATGGCATACAGTATTAGCTTATTAATTTATACAATGCGCTGCAGCATTCTTGCCGGCTCTTTCGCTAGCCATGCAGTCGCCAAGTAAGCACTGAAGTGGCTTCAAAAACTTTGTTTTTTAATGGTTAAATAAGAATGATACAGCAATATAAATATAATATTCACATGTACCAAATAATGCTCTTCTTCATCCATTCTCCGTCAATATTTTTTGTGTCAAAAATAAAAGTGCAAGCTTGTTTTTGTTCAAAAATATGAGAGTTGGACGTTACTACGCAACGGTCCAATACTGGGGGATTCCAGACCGGCAAAGAACCAATCAGCGCACGCCATTTTAGTCACGAGACCGCGTGCCATATAATAAAAGTAAATTAATAAACGGTATCCAAACTGTTTTAGTTAATGAAACATGAAAAATTAATTTAAAAAATCTGTAATTTATGAATACCTGGAATATATGAATTCATTTCATTTTTAATTCCAAATTTCTGTTTCAGCATTTCGATACAATGGTTGGAAATCTCCCCGTCATAAAGACAATTTATTGCTTCCAATGTTACAGACTGTAATCTTCCTTCCTTTAAGAAACCCATAGAGTTCATCCAGTTCCCAAGTTTTAAAACTTTCTCCTGTTGTGTTTTGTCGAGTTTGTTTTCTTTAACATATTCCATCGCACAAGTGGCGATTGGATTCAAACCTTAAAATCGGAACAATTTATTTTACAAATTTACGATTGGAAGAGTTATGTACGATTTACGACGCGGCCAGCTCGACGACGCACTTGCAAACAAAGAAACACCACACGCGAAAAAAAAGGTACTATGCATAACTTGTGGTGCCACCTATGACAGCGTTGATATTCTTACGTTAGTCTACTCGTTTGCATGGTAATAATATTGTTGTCAATTTTTTAGGCATTTTTTTTCTTGGTATATGGTGTTAAATTTGGTGATCAGGAGTTTGATAGTCGCTATCTAAAGTACAACCATAAAACATTCAGAATAACTGCATGCAATTTAACAGCAAATTAAACTAATTTATTATTGCAAGTATTTTAACACGAAGTATGTAAATGATTGCAAACTAAATATGAGTTGCAACAACGTTAACTGCAACTTCAAACCGCCATCCTAAAACCGCAGTTTCCGCACATGCCAATCTAAACGGCTCTATTATTACCAACACTTTACGTCTCGTGAAAATATATACTTATTACGCGTTGACTTCATTTTCCTACCTCCTTTTGCCGCCTCGCTAAAAGCGTTTGAGAATTTTTCCTCTTCATCAGACAATTCTTCACTTCGAGAATCTTTCGCCTTAATTTTATGACCTTCTGTTGGCCTGTCCTTTTTAGCTCTTGTGAAACAAGAATTAAACACTAAGAGACCAAAATTATCCTTATTTCGACGAAGAAGCTTCGCACAGGCGTCGTATAAATTCTTGGGCTGTCTCTCGCCATTTGGAAGAATTGTAAAATCACCTGCTTTCTCAAGTTCAAGGTCATCGAAGTCATTTTCTATCAATACGACAGGTGCTGAGATGCCAAGCACTTCAAACACGATAATTGAAATGGTATCTTTCTTTTCTTTCATCTTGTCTTTCCATTTACTCAGATTCCGGTACCCAACAGAGCAGCAATGTGTTACAACCACAACAAGATTTGAATGATATTTGTCAACCACGTCAAGAAATTTAATCCCTCTAAGACATTTGGAAAGATTGCTATTCTCACCCTTGACCCGGGAATCATTCACGTTCACCACCAAAAATACAAGATTCGGATAAGTAAGCTGTTCTGGTAAGCCTGGATGGGTTTCAAAAAATCTTTTAATGGAAACAAAATTACAAGCATCTTGCTTGACACCAGCAGTATCATTAAATCCTGGTGTATCTATAATAGCCATTTTTAAATCGCAAACTCCGTAGTTTGGGTTGTCAGTGGTAAGAATATATTCGTTGGTTGATTTAGTTTCGGGCTCAGAACTACTGGTGACCGCAACAGGGTTTCCTTCTCCTGTATCAAGTAAATAATTTATTGTAGACGACTTTCCAACCCCAGTACTTCCTACCAACAAAATTATCGCAGAATTTAATGGACGTTTTATCTTTGCACTTGAAAGTAAGCAGTGATAAAGCTTGGCTCTTGGTGGTGGGTCAGAGTCCCGATCAAGGTTTTCAAATAATCTCAGTTCCTCTTTAAAATCTTCAGCTGAAGCTGGCAAAGGTTTCAATTCATCAGGATTCGTTCCCATCGCCATTCAAATGTATTAAAAAACCTATGCAACAAAGATATATTTTATTACCATATTTCTTGGAAACGTTCAGGATAATGAAGTGATAGAAGATGATAATATAGCGCTAGTTTCTATTGCATGGTCAGTCCTGCAATTTTTTTTTCCATTGCACGGTTGCTTTCATTAGATTTAATCACTCAAAATATTAATCGTACTGTGCTCGCACGCATTTGATCACGAATGCGAATAATATGGCGAAGAGGATTATCGTTGATAAACACAAATGAGACAACATGTTTACTTAATAAAAAAATTATCTATTTTGGTGTTATATAAAACAAATAATGAATGTTTATGACTGCAGTGGTAAGAATATTTCAATTCGGTGAAAGATAAAGCAATCCTTAAAACTACGTACACTTCTGCTCTTCAAGATATCTACGACATTGACATCAATTCAACCTGGCGATCTATATGTCTACGTTGCAACACCATACGAAACTTCTTCCAACCGTCACTTGACTCATCTTGCTGTTAGATCATGATTAGATCATGTCCGTCCGATCCATCCGTCTGTCTTTCTGTCTGTTTTCGTTTTTAAATAGCAGTGGGTGGCCTTAGCTAGGGTGTTACAGCCCTGTTGTTACCTGCCTATGTATGTGCCGTAGTTATTCAAAGCCGGAATCTTTAAAACAAGGAATGAGAAAAGCCGGAATCTTACAGCCGGAAGACACAATTTCCGGACGTAATACAAAATATACCAATTTGATAATGCATGATGCCGCTAACAATGGACGCGAAACATTGAAAATCCTACTCAACAGCTACGGCAGCGCAGAGAAACCAAGAGTACTTACACTATACGAAGAGCTGACAACACTATACGTATGTCTGTACACGAAGACATGACTGATTACATTATCAGAGCTGAAAAAGCAGCTACAGGATTGAAAGCAGCAGGTGAGACAATAAGTGACAATCTGATTATCGCAATGCTTTTGAAAGGATTACCCGAAGCATATACACTTCATTTGTTGCGGTACACACGCAATTAGACAAAATGAAAACACTTACTGAGTTCAAAGCCGCACTGCACAACTATTCCAAATTGAAATGTTCATTTTGTAAAAAGCCAGGGCATGTCGAAAGTGTCTGTTTTCAAAAGAAGAGAGACGGTGCAAACAAACAAAACACGGCCAGCAACGTATCATTCTCTTTCTCGTTGACTGATAAAACCATGCTCAGCTAGCAGCGTACACAAACCTCATTCCTTACTTGTTGATTGTGGCGCAACGTGTCATATTGTGAACGACACAAATAGCATGATAGAATACGACGATTCCTTCGATCCAAGTCAACACTGCATCGAGGTCGCTAATGGTCACCATAGCAACACAATCGTTATAGCGAAAGGTACAGCCAAGTTCACTATTCTTAGTTCCACCGACTAAGGTAAAGTAAACATATCGACATTATGCTCAAGAATGCTTTACACGCACCAACCTTCCCGGCGAGTCTGTTCTCAGTACGTGCAGCCACTGATGAGAATGCGAAGGTCGTCTTCACCAAAGATACAGCTAAACTCATCGCCAACCATACTCGATTCAACATCCATAAGCAAGGTTGCCTTTATTACCTACCGACAGTTACGAATGACACAGCGAGCATAACCAGATCTCTTGCTGATTGGCACAAAGCTCTTGGCCACATGAACAACGAGGACATTCTCAAACTAGAGTCTTTCACTCGCGAAATGAAGATCACAGAAACCAAAAGCAAACAATCGTGCACCACATGCAATGAGCATAAGATGACAAAGTTACCAAAGTCCCAAGATGATCCTCCCGTATGCTACGCACCACTTGAACGAGTACACACTCATGTTTGTGGACCAATCTATCCAGTTCCACGAGAAGGCTACAAGTATATTATCAACTTCATTGACGAATTCTCAAGCATGCTCTTCGTCTACTTCCTACGTTTCAAAGACGAAGCATCTCAAGCATTGAAAAAATTCCTTGTTCATGTGGCCAAGATTGGGCGCGCCCACAAGAAATCCGCAGTGATAACGGCGGAGAATACATGGGTCAAGCCTTCCAACAAATCCTACTCGATAACAGCATCAAACATACCACCACAGCACCACACTCTCCATATCAAAACGGCAAGTCAGAGCGAACCTAGCGCAGCCTACTTGAGATGGCATGATGCCTGATAGCTGATGCATCTCTCATGAAGCCAGTATGGTCGTACGCCGTACGTCACGCACAATATCTAAGGAATAGGAGTTTTCAGAGGAGAACCCAAAAAACTGCCAACGAACTTTTGACAAATTCCAAACCAGACATGCAAGAATTACACCCCTTTTGCTCACAATGCACCTTCTTCTTAGAGGGAAATAAATCGAAATTACAGCAGAGAGGATTCCCTGGGGTCTATCTTGGTGTCAACCCAATGAGCCAGGGTTATTTCATCCTAAACCTAAAGAACCAAGGAGTGATTACAACACGAAATGCCCACATTGAAGATATCATCTTCGAAAAACCAGCTACAGGAGTATCACCGCCGCAGCCAGACCATCTCGAATTGCCCGACACCTCCGCGATCAAGGACGAGCCAAATACAAATGAAAAAGAACCACGACTAGCTGAAACCGAGGAAAATTCATCCGATGCAAATGCAGAACGCCCACGACGCGATATACGTCCACCAAAACGCTTTGCAGACTATTACTTGACAGTCAACGTCGACTACGCCTATGCTGCCGTGCCCATTATACCCACTTCTTATGAAAAAGCAGTTAACTCAGAAAACGCCAAATTACGGAAAGCTGCCATGGTTGCGGAAATCCAGACTCTCGAGCAGAATCAGACGTGGGACTATCCCCTTTGCCACAAGGTAGAACCGAACCAAAAGGACGATGGGTATACACAATCAAACAAGGAAAGTCCGAAAGTGAAGTGCAATATAAGGCTCGATATGTCGCAAAAGGGTACTCACAAACCCAAGGTGTCGACTACGATGAGACATATTCACCAACAACTCGCTTCACATCAATTCGAGCTTTACTACAAAAAGCTGCTAACGAAGGTCTACACTTACATTAAATGGATGTGAAAGCGGCCTATTTGAACGCCCCGATCGACGAAGAGATATATGTGGAGCAGCCCCTAGGCTACGAACAAACCGATAGTAGTGGCTCAAAGCTCAGTTACCACCTCAAGAAGTCTCTCTACGTGGCATGCCACACTAAAAGTCTAAAGGATTCATCCCTAACAGCAACGAGCCTTGTGTCTACACTCGCTCCGACAGCAACGGTGACAGGATCATTATCCTGTTTTGGGTGGACGACATCACAGTGGCGTAGCCACCTTGACGATTTAGTCATGCTATGCAAATTTTAAGTTATTAAGTTCTTTAGAGATAGACGCCACTGCGACACCATCATAGGTAGTACTATTAACCTCGATACAATCACAACCATAAAAGAGATGCTGAACAGCAGCTTCATGATGTCATTGACTTCGAACGTCTCGAAGATGGGAGCTATCAGATGAGTCAAGAACGATATGCACAAGCAATCCTTCGACGGGTCAACATGTCCGAATGTAAACCAGCTCCTACTCCTGTGACGAAAAGTGCCACGCAATTGAGCAAAGATCACGACCAACAGAAGCACAACTTTCCATACCGACGAGCGATTGGAAGCCTTATGTATCTCATAACCGCAACACGACCAGATATCAGCTGGGCACTGAGTATCTTGGCTATCTCAATTCCTAGAAAACCCAACTATGCAAAATATTACAGTCCTTAAGCGAGTTTTCCGCTACATACAAGGCACCAAGTCATATAAGCTCAACTTCACGCAAACCGACGTGCAGCTAACAGCTTACTGTGATTCAGATTGGGCGAACGACCCTAATGACCGCGCGACGTTCCGTGACTGGCTATGTTGTCATAGGTGTAGAGTTTTGTTTTCTTCTGGGGGGGCTCAAACTTTAGATACATGATATCTAGCTAGCAAAACCTTCTGACATTAGATACAATTAAATATAGAATAAACTCCACTTGATATATATAGTTGCATCGGTAGTCATGGTTTATATGGCCGATGGACGGAGAAAATTTTACCAATGATTATGACCTTTTGTGCATGGGTAGAAAAGGTAATGAAAATGAACAAGCTGCCATGTATTTTATGATTTTATAACTCGAAAATTCTGTATTTCGCAATTGCTTTTCCGAGTTGCATGTTGGATATATCATTATATTCACTATAATAATACCGTTTCATGTGTATGTATAAGGACACCTTTTCAACGATTCAACATTGCTCTGATGCAATTATTACTTTGTGGAAAATTTCTAGGGGGGCTGAGCCCCCCCCAGTAGGATTTCTTGGGGGGCTCCAGCCCCTCAGCCCCCCCATACTCTACGCCTATATATGTTGTCACTCTGGGTGGAGCACCAATTAGCTGCAGAACCCGAAAACAGCACACTCTCGTACGCGAGCAACAAGGTATCGATTACCGACACGTCCCGTCAGAGAACAATCTCGCAGACATTCGTACGAAGCCCGTGGCCACCATTTTACACGAGCGCATTGTCCGGGTGCTCCAGATTGCGGGGGCATGTTAAGAGAACAATCAGATAACATCCGGAGAACTTTAATACCGGATATGACCTTACACAAACTAGCCAATCATACGGCACTTAAAAATTACGTAATGCTATAGACATAAAAACGTATGTTGAATGTTTCATACATCTCATATCTTATATTTTTTTACTCAGTTATGTTTGAAATAAATTGGTGTTATTTTTTAATACAATAAATATAAACAAAAAAGAAACGATGTCTCTCAATGCAATACACTCAACATAGATCTCCAGCACTATTGGCTTTCCATACTCATTTCGATCTATATTATCAAAAATATCTAAAATCTATCTTGGATTGTGGTAGCCCTTAAAGATTATTTCACTTGTACATGCATTGAATACGGTCGGATAATGGCGGCATATTTTTAGTATAAACGAAACATAATACTTTTTATCACAACAAAGCTAGACATCTGGCGAAACCTCACACTACGGTCTGTCACCTTGATCTGCACGCTAAATTCGTGGCGTTGCAAACGCGAGAAATGTACCTCAAGATAAAGAATTGGACATTATAATGTTTATAATCTATCGATCCTTCGAAAACGTGCGAAAATTCTAACAAAAGTTACAAAGCAGGCGACAAATCAACGTGTGAATGCGCTAACAATTTCAATATGCTGCCATACATTTTCTAACAAAGCTCGTAAATATAATTGAAATGTTCATCAGGACGAATGAGTACAAGCGTATTCTTAGGGCTGCTTTCCACTGTCGCGCGTTTTTGCACTTACGTACACGTGCGTAAAACCTTTTAAGTTGTTGTATAATTAATTTTATGCCGGAATAAAATACACCAAATATCAAAAGAATTCGACCCTGTGCATCTATTCATTCGTTGATTTATTGATTACTTGCGGTATATATGCGTACATACAAAAATGCGACATCTAAGTATATAATCCTCAACTAAAATTCAAAGTGAACTAATTGGCAGAGATAATTTTGAACCACACTATAATACCAGATAAATTTTACTCCAAAGAGTTTATAGATCAGGCAACAGAAACTACGCCATAAGTAAATAGCAACCAAAATAGCAAACACTGAGATGCAGGGATTAAATGCTCTTTAGAAATTGGGTTAATAAACTAAACAGCCTTTGTACAGGATCCTCGTAGAGAATTTCCTAAACAGCCTTGTTAGTTGCAGAGTTTAGTGACAGGAGCGGATTAAAAGGCTAAAATCTTACCTGTAGTTAATATTCGCAACTGATCTTTTACAATTTTTTAAAAAGAACCGTTCAGCAGATTTCTAACAGCTTTATCGCCAACAACGAAGTGTTGTGTTGCAACTGGAATCTCAAGTATGGGAAATTTGCTTAGAAATTCGTGTGGGCGTACTGGTTTGTGCCACTGATCTGAAAAATCCTGGATCGCGCATCAGGTATGCATAATATTATTGCAGCCATCTTGATGTGACAACTTTTAATTTACTGAGGGTGGTAATGCTGATGTACGATTTGAGACCGAGAGTTTCGGGGGAATTCCTGACTTCTATTAGGAAACGTAAAGCCGGTTTCTACTGGGCGGGATTTTTTCACAGGACTTTTTAGCATTCTCAACCTCTACAATGTTACTGATTCTGCGTATCCTTACTTGTTGCATTTCTACACTGAGACAATGACTTCAGATGCAGGACAACCATATCTTTTTGAAACATATTCTACATTAAGGAATATGATAGGGAAATTATTGAAAAATGCAGGACTTGTCTTATTATGGCCTATGCTGTGAGTGCCGGGATAGTATACTTTATACAATAACTAACTGAAAAAAGTTACCAGCTTTCCGCATATGCTATTGACTTTTCCTTGTCTAGTTGTGCCTTGTTAGCATCCTTTTCCTTGAAAGCATTGGAGGTCTTTCCTCTCATGGAGTGTGTGGACAGAACCTCCCGGTTCCAAAACATATACCCATAATCGAGTACACGAAATCCTTTAAATTGCCTTTTCCTTTTAAAACCTTTTGTTATTAATTGAGACACTGGGACTGGGACTGTAACTGTCTCTTCGTTCCAATTATTTACTAGGTCGGTCGAACAAAAAAACTCCCTTCGACAATAAATTTCCAAATATCAATGATAACAATAACAATAACAATAATTTATTGTTTGCCACAGAAAAGATTTACAAATTGTAAATAATTACAATAAAAAAGAAAAAAAAGAAGAAGAAATGGCAAGGAAGCCCAAAACGAAGCAAAAGCTTATAAATTATTGGGCTACCATGTCACTAGAGTAATATTTATGAAATACAAAGAAAATAAAAACAAAGAGAAATAATACAATATACAGGGTGTATCAAAAAAAAATGTCCAAAATGTAAAATTTTCGTTTTTCAGGATGTTTTGTAGAATTTGGCAAATTTTTGTGTTCCTAGAGATAGTTAAGACTTACTTGGTACACCTAGGCCATGTTTGGTTTTTCATTAACAAAATTATGTTACCGGGGAGGTTATTCCTTTCCACTGATATTGAGAGGGCTTGCGCGCGAAAATGTGAAGCTGAAATTGAGATATTATTTAGCTGTCTAAAAGTAGGAGCGCTTTTTAATAAACTGTCAAAGTTTGAGGAAAAATATTGGATACTGGGAGCAATGCGCGACCCCTAAAGGTGACAAATATTTTAAAATTAAACGAGACTTACCGTAAGTTGAAGTTTGATTAGGATTCATGTGAGATATGCGCACGCAGATCGAGCAGTCAGTTTTTAACGCAACGAGAGATTACAACAGTACCTTCAAAGGGAGGGAACAAGCTCAATATACCCAAACACAAATAGTGTAATATGGCGGGTGACTCCTTAGTTTCCGTGTCCAAGAACTCATAGAATTACAATCAAACTTCAACTTACGGTAAGTCTCGTTTAATTTTAAATTCTATTTCGTCCTTGGACTACGTCACTAAGGAGTCATGTGAGATGTTCAAAGTGTTGTAATCACGAGTGATAACAATTTACAGAACTCAAACAACGAAATAACTTTATTCCAATTTTACTAGAATGCATAATTAACTTGTGAAAGCTTGTAATAACGATGAACCAAAGTCCTCTTCCAACCGTAATGGTTTGTTATAATATTTTTGAAAAGTTTGAGCGTTAGACCACCCAGCTGCTTCCAATATTGAATCAATAGAAATACATGTGTTAGGGAGCAGTCATTATTAATGCCGGGGGGTGGGCCGGAAGATATTGCTTTACCTGTGGTAAATTTTTCATGGCCCCTCACTATTTCAAGGAAAAAATTTATGGCCCCCCCTGTTAGATCAACTAACTTTTCATAGCCCCCCCCCCCCCGCTGCACAAGAAGAAAAAAAGAGAACAAACGAAAGCATGATAAAAGAAAGGAACAAAGAAAAATATGCAGTAGTGTCAAGATCTTGGATGCTATTCTCCTCGACCATGCAAAGAAGAACAAGTTCATAGAGCAGTTAGAAAAGTCAGACTTTAGTTTTACTATAGAAAAAGAAGATATCAACATGGAACACTTGGGTTTATTAAAACCCAAATTTCACGAGCATGGCATCAAACTGTTATTAGAACAAGGTGTTTTTGCCAGTGATGCTTGTGAACTAGTTCAGAAAGTGGTTAACAGTTATAGTGAAAAGAAAAAGATTGTAGGACCGAAAAAAAAGAGAAAGGTCACAACAAAGAAAAATCAGATGTCACTTCTTACAGCTTTTGGCAACGCCAAAAAATTAAGTGAACATTCATGTACCTCGGATTCTGATTTGGACTAATTAGTATTTTATGCATTTCATTGTTCAGAATTGTTGTTTCATGATTATTAAATAATGCATTAATTTTTGGTAGCCCCCCTACTTCTCTCTGGAATTTTTTGTAGCCCCCCCTAAGTGGTTACTACATTTTTGGTGGCCCCCCCAAATATCTTCCGGCCCACCCCCCGGCATTAATAATGACTGCTCCCTTAGTTGCGGCTGACGACGATGCCGCTCTTGTACTGTGACCACAAAAATCATTTATTCCGGCCAGTTTTAGAACTGTTTTGAGCCATCTCGAGATGGTGTCTGTGCTCACTTCTTTATGTAGTTTTTGGAAGCTAATCAACAACTGTCGAGAGTTTCCTCTTAAACTCCGCGTTCTTTCGATATACTCTGTTAGAAGCTTGAATATGCAAAGCGTGGGATCTGGCTGATATGGTTTAACCATTAGGGGCGCCAGGTGATTTCCGGGTCTAGATGTTTTTAACAGTCTTTCAAAATGGAACACATATTTCCCGTCTGCGCACGACATACTGTCAAGTGACAAGGCTTTAAGAGTTTGACACCTCTGTGCCGAAGTAAGAGCAAGAATCATGACCAGTTTTTGCGTCAACGTTTTGAGGGTTAAATTTCTGGTTGGCTGAAGAGTTCGTAGGTAGTCTAATACTATTCGAACATCCCAAATATCATTGTGCCTTGGTAAGGATGGTCGACTTTCAAATACCCTTTCAGGAAACGACAAACCATCGGGTGTGTTCCAAAGTTGGTGTTATTTGATAAAAGTATGATAGAGGACAGAGCACTACGTGCTGTATTCAATGCACTGTAACCAAGGCCCTTTTTAAACAAGTCTGCGAGAAAATTTATCCCTTCTTCAACAGTGGGTGCAAAGGGATTGATATTCTGTTCACTACAATATTGTTTCCATTTTCCCAAGTATCCTTCATATTGTTTTCGCGTACCTGTTCTCCATGCTGCTTCAAGGACTTCTTTAGCTGTTGTCGAAAGGCCTCTGTTTTCAAACTGTTCCCTGATAAGTGACACACAAGTAGGACTATTTTCTCGTGGAGAGGGTGTTTCTCCAATGGGTTGCTTGGGAGGTGCAATGTTGATGTTGTGCTGGGAAGTATGATGGGTGACTGTATCAGCATTCGGATTGCCACTGGCCACCAAGATTGGGTTGGCCATTTGGGTATAACAACTAGGCCCTCGGATTCTTCCTTTTGGATCTTTTGTAGGACCTGGCTAATTAAACAGAACGGTGGAAAAGCATAAAAATCATATTCAACCCATGGGTGGTGAAAAGCGTTAACTGCTATTGCTTCAGGATCAGCAGTGTATGACATGTAGGGCTTAACTTGGTAATTTATATGCGATGCGAAAAGGTCAATGTTTGGCTTAAAATTAAGCTTTGCGCAAGCATTGTGAAACATGTCTTTGTCTAAGCACCACTCCGTGGTACGCCTAGTTTGTCGAGACTCGTAGTCTGCGTCAACATTATCTTTACCAGGTATACGGGCAACTGTGATCCATACATCATTTGCAAAACACCAGTCCCATATAGTTTTGATAAGACTGTTCAGCGTTGGTGAGTGGCTTGTTCCCATTTTATTTAAGGTAATTTGAACAGTAGTATTATCTACTAATACTTTAACATGCTTTGTTTGAGACCAGTTTTTTATGTGCTTTGAGGCTAAAAAATACTGCTAGCAACTCTAAATAATTGATATGATATTTGCTCTCTTCCAGAGTCCAAAGTCCTCCCGTTTTAAGATTTTCAATTGCACATCCCCAGCCAATTTTTGAGGCATCAGTGCACATAGTCACATTTGGTTCTGGTTTATAGATCAGATTGTTTGCTTTTTCTATATTATCTGCCCACCATTGCAGTTCAGATTTTGCATTGTTGGATAACTGCATTTGTGTGTCAAAATTATTGTGATTAAGTTTTAGGGCCTGAGCTTTTTCGCCCTCTGTAATTCTAAAATGAAGGGGTCCGTGCATAACCCCTGGAAAGGTAGAGATTAACAGACCAATAACCTGAGCAACCTCTCTTATAAGAGGCATATCCTGAGAAAGAAGGCAAATGACTGCCGACTTCAACTTCTTTGCCTTTTCTGGTGTTAGCGAGACAGTCATTGTCATAGAATTGAGAATGAACCCAAGATACACAATTATTTGCTTTGGCAAAAACACTGATTTATCAGGATGAGGCACAAAATTCAATTTGTCTAACACTGTTACTGTGTCAATGACATTGGATACACACTCTCTATTAGTGCTACCAATCAAGATGGAATCATCAATATATGGTGATGAAACATGTCCCTTGTTTCTTAAGAATGAGTATACTGGTTTTAATAACTTTGTAAACTTTCTAGGGGCAAGAGCTAGCCCATTGGGGAAGCAAGTAAATTTATACAATACCCCATTCCAGCAGAATTTTAAATATTTTTGGTGCTTGGCACTTACACGCACTGAATAGTAGGCGTCTTTTAGATCTACAGATGCCATATAGCACTGAGGCTTCATAAAGCCTAATGGCATTCCAAATGGAATCCATTTTGAAATGCCGGTAAACTACATGTTTATTCAAACTTTTTAGATTTAAAATCATCCTGTATGACCCATCAGGTTTGGGTCTTACAAAGATTGGTGAGATGAATTTATGCTCTTCATGTGCAGAATGAACAATAACACCTTTGTTTAAAAGCTTTTTAATTTCCAGTTCAATCACAAGTTGCTCAGCTCTGGAAAATATGTTCGCTTTTGGTGCCTTAAGTTGATGAGGTAAGGAAGAAAATTCTATTTCTTCCCCCATGACTGTCTGTAAAACTTCCGAATCAGAAGTGAGTTTGCGCCACTCACAAAGTTTGTGACTTAATTGGCCAGCTTGAAAGTTATCTACTCGGTTAGTAAAATATTCCACCAATGATGGAAGGTCTGTCTGAAAATTACTAACCTGTAAATTTTTTAAAACTGTCACCTTTCTTTCTTTCTCCATAGTCATTAGTTCTGTTGATGCTTGGGTGCTCGGTTCTTCTTGGTTTGAAAACTGGATCTTTGTGGGTGCTGTTTCCACTGACGGCTGTGGGACAAAAAATGCCCCCTTGTTGCCTTACTTCCTGAGCTGGAGTTAGTAGCACCCAAGTGGCGGCCATATGGTTTGGGTTTATCAAACTGATGTGGCACTGTTACTTTACTAATTTTGTTGGAAGCTCGGATGTCATTGAGCTGTTTTTGGAGGTTATCTCCAAACAAATACGTTGTGATTGGCACATGTGAAGCACAGAGGCTACTATAATCTTTATGTAGATTTGGTTTGAAAGCGTCGCGTCGACGTATAGAGAGGTCGCACATGAGTAGGTTACCCGTCCCCCCCCATATAGCAACAAAATCACGCACCGCGTGATTCCCACGCGGGACGTCGAAAACTGTCGGATTTTCCCGAAGATGTGCGTGGTCTCCACGCAGGGTGAGAGTGTGACGTTATTAAACCGTAATTAAGTACACAGTAAGGATTTGCGAGGAAAATATTTTATTTGTCAGGTTATACACATTTAGTATGTCAACATTTTAATAGTGTGTTTCTTTCCATAGCATTAGGACTGTTTATTTTAAAAGTTCGTTTGTTGTGCGATGCTTCCTCACCGTTAGTTTATACTTTAATTTTTATTTCATCGTACCATGTGTCAATATGTCCATAGCGAATACACGATTGCTAAATTATTTGCATTGGTTTATAAGGGAACAGGTTTTTTTATTTTTGTTTGTTATTACATTTGTCTCTCTCCAGCCATAACCCGTACGCTTCTACTTCAACTTTAGGACAATGTTGATAATATGCGTCGGCTGCCAAATGCTTTCCGCAGGTCTCCAGCCATACTAGATTTTTTGTCAGTATTTGCGCTTTCGGGCATCCAAAACACTCCAAATTGATGGAGGGAATGTTCAGGTTTGCGAGGAGATCCTTCTCGTATCAAACATATTGTTTACAAAAGGTACTTTGTGAGCGCTACGGTGTGCGCTACTCCCACGCGTGATGATGTGCGCACAAGCATTTGTTTACAAAAGGTCATTTGTGAGCAGGGCGCTTATATATAGGGCGGTGCCAGGGCGCTTATATATATAAGCGCCCTGGGCGGTGCAACGCGCTCATTGCGCGCCGATCGATGTGTGATGCGGAAATGGCCTGGCACGAGCGTGATTGTCGAGCGAAATGTGAATGGAGTGTGTTTTTTACAAATGCTATATATTTTCTATTTTTTTTCTTAAATATGGCATTTTGGAAGAACTTTTAACGGGTTGTTAAGTAATTCTATTTCATTGAAATTCTGGTAACTTCAATTATTTAAAAACCGCCTTTTCAAATATTAAATTTTTGGATAACAACGGGATCGTGTAATGGCTTGAATCGGGGGAAGATTTCAATTTGAACATATTGCATGTAACTGCTTGTCCACGACGAAATATTTCAGGTATGTTGAATATAATAATAATAGAATGACATATTATACTTTTCATTAGAATTGAAGTGGATGGATTTCAGATAAAATAACTAGAACTTGTACTTTAATCGTGAGTTAGTTTTAGTGCATTTCTTCGCTGCTTGACAACAACAAAACGTAACAATTGTTTTCATTTTGTTGTGTTCTGGTCAACAATAGTCCTTTAAAAGAATTTATAACTTTTTCTAAAGAAAATATCATAATGAACTAGAGGCTTGAGTAATTTTACCCTACTAGCCAAGTTAATAAAATACAAATTGCTTGTAAATATGCCCAGCGCTTTCGTTGATAAAAAATTGCCCAGGCCTTGTAAGTTTTTTGTCAGGAAGGCGAGATGATCGTTTGTCTATACGCACCAAAAAAATAACAAATTGAGTAGATGGTTTCCTTATCTATGTACGAAAGAATTATCCGGCCACAGATTCGATGTGCAAACTGTATTCTATCGAAGGTTAAAGCGTAAACATGGTAACATACAATAACGTGAGCAAAGATGATCTCTCAGTTTCGCGTCATTTTCCTGTCGTAAGCAAGTTCATCTTTTTTCTCACCATTGATTTTCGAGCATGTAAACAACAGTTTTGTAAACAAAATGTCTAATTCTTGCGGCAAAAGAGAAGTTGATGACACGTATGTGTCTCAGTACAAACGAGCAAGGGTGTCTGAATCATTGGAAACTACTGCAGGGGAAGCGACACCTCAGGGAAACGACAGGGAGCAACCCGTTGCTGATTATACAAATTGTTTTACAAACACTAAAACAGCGCAAGTACAATACTCTGGTAAAATTACTTTACAACCTGAAGAACTTCTTCTATACTGTTTGTTGAGAATTTCCTCACCATCTGGCAGCATTAATTCTGCAAAGGGATACACTCCCGAAAAGTTTATTGGCATTACAAAAGCAGTTTATAATGTATATGGCATTCGTTTTGATTGTGTCAGCTTACAAAACTATTTCTATCGATCCATTAACAATCTTAGAAAGGGACTTGGAAAGTATAATGGATATCTGAGATGGGTTTTCTATTCAACTTATATTGAAAGGATTGTTACTACACACCAATCACTCCTTTTGAACCTACTCCTAAATTCTGATGCAAGCCACAATAGTTATTATGATGACTTGTGCAGAGATCTAGAAATGGCATGCCTATCCAGTGTGCAGGAGGGAAAGCTCTCACAAAGTCTTGCATGGAAGATAAACAAGGGCAGTGCTGATTGCATGAATAGGTTTCCGAAGTGGAAAGTCATTCCTGATGTCAAAGAATCAAAAGTCAATCTCTATTATATGGGTAGAAGTCCTGTGAATGCACAGTATCAAGTAACCGTGTCATCAGATGGGAGTTATTCCTTTGTTTTTATGGGACAGCCCAAAGTTTTGAATTTTGATGACAATTTCCTTCCATCATCAGTTTATGACAAGCATCAGCTTTACTCACTCATGAAATCTCTCGAGAAATTGCGATTATGCCCTGGTGCTTCTGTTGAAAATTACCAAGATTTGTTACCTGAGAATGACAGTACACCAGTTTATAGGAGAGCTAGTGGAGAGCCTGCAGCATTTGTAGAATCTTTGTCAGGAAATTGTTGCAAAAGATGTTTAAGATCCACCAATTGTGACATATTTATTAAGGATGGTGAAAGTTGCAAATCTTGCCAACAGTCAGGTCATTACATGAGGACACTTAAATATAGAAGCAAGAACATAGTCATAGGTCAGAATTCTAAGCATACTCGATATGATTATATGTCGAAAGATAAGCTACTCAATACTAGAGAAATGGCAGGAAAACTTCATGTGATGCAGACCAAAATAAAAAGGCTAGAAGAATACCAAAAGGAAATGAGTACTGTTGGAAGTAATACAGATTCAGATTTTAGGAAGTTATTTCAAGAATTGTATAAAGGATTGGATAAAGTGGTTAAAAAGCATGATAACAACACTTGTTATTGGGTTGGTTGTGATTTGGAAACTGAATTTGAAACACCAGAGTTGCTTCTTGGACATTTGAAAACTGTTCATATTAAAACTGTCGATGATGTTGCACCAATCAACAGGCAATATACTTGTGAGTGGTTAGGCTGCGACAAACGTTTTGGGAAAAAGAAGCTTCTCCACAGCCATGTTGTTGAACATACAGGGAGTGAGTCAGATACATTTTTCATTACCCTTTTGAACGATCAGGCAAAGGCTTTGAATATGCCTTCCAAACAAATGAGGTGGCATCCTTTGATATTGAAATGGTGCCTACGAATGTATTGTAAATCCCATAGCATGTACACTGAGCTTCGAGAATCTGGTTTCCTAAAACTTCCTAGTGGAAGAACTCTTTCCGATTACAAAAACTTCTGTTCATCAAAATCTGGTTGGCAGACATCTGTGTTAGAAGCCATGAGAAACAGCTTTGTAGATAAGAAAATTCCAGAAGCTGGAAAATTTGGTTGTCTTTTATTTGATGAAGTCAAAATTAAAGAAGGCTTACTCTTCGACCCATCATCATGGGAATTAATCGGTTTTACTGATTTGGACATTGATGATAAGTCACCCAATCTAAGAGACAGCCTTGCAACACATGTGCTACAATTTTTCTATAAGAGCTTGTTTGCTGGTTTTCAATTTCCATGTTCCTATTTTCTAACAAGAGGAATATCTGCTCAAAACCTAAACAGATTATTTTGGAAAGGAGTTGGTTTGCTACATGGCTATGATTTTAAAGTCATTCTGACATGTTGTGATGGTGCTGCTGAGAACAGAAAATTTATGACAATGAATGGTTGTAGTGAAACGACAAGCCAAACGATAAACCCATACTCCAAACTCCCTATGTTCTTCATGTCTGATCCACCCCATTTGATTAAGAAACTCCGCAACAACATTTACAAGAGTGGCTTCAAAGAAAATTCCCCAAGATATACTCGATGCTTATTGTTAGATTCTAAAAACATTTTGTGGGATCACATCTATTCTGTTTATCTGAGAGACAAACAGAGGCATTTGTTTTCAACAGACCTAAGAAGTTCCCATGTTCACCTCGATAGCTTAAGTAAGATGCGGGTGAAGCTTGCTGTCCAAGCCCTGAACTCAAAAGTGCAGAAAGATATGGAGACATTTGAGTCAGATGAAACGACGTCAACCCAGAAATTCATTTTAAACTGTGAGAAATTATGGAATGTCTTCAATGATGACAAACCACTTTCATCAATAACCGATTCTAGAATTTTAGATTTGGAAAATGTTATACAGTTTTTCAATAATTGGAAGGATGAACTTGCTTCTAAATTTAAAACTAAAGCTGAGATATCATCACATTTTATTTCTTGGCAAACAATGTTTGACTTGCAGGTGATTTAATTGGTTATTTATTATATGAAAATGAACAAAATCAACCATTCAATAGACCTTTTGCATAATGACTACTTTTTGATCTATGCAAAATAATCGGATTTGATAGTTGATTTGAAAGCCATAATTAACTATAATCAACCCAGTATTTTTAGTTAACTCTTCACATACATATCTAATAAAATTTAAAATTCATATCAAAACCCTTTTGAACTTAAAAAGTGAATGTATGAACTTGGGAATGAATATTATTTGACCAACTGTTTTCTTTGACTTTGCAGGTTTCAATTAACGGCTTTAAGGAACTTGTTAAATTCATTGGAAGTCCTGAAATCCAATCCCTCCAAGGAAGCCATTATGTGATTCCAAAGCGACTAAGTCAAGATCTAGTTGAGTCTTTCTTCTCGGTGCAAAGGCAATCATGTGGCGGTACAACCAACATGACTGCAATTGCTTATGGATATAACGTAAACAGTGCTATCACATATTCTGCCACCAAATTGCTAAGGAAGACACAAACAAATGTTTTGGATAATGATGAAATAGAACTTAGTAGTGAGCAGGAGAGTAGCATCACAAGTCTTCCAAGGAGAGGTAATATGGAAAGTATCTTTACCTCGCAACTGTGGCCAGTTTATCTTTGAGAGTTATTTTGCCAACTATATAAAATGATAATATTAAGTTAGGGAGTGGTCACAATTAATGCCGGGGAGGGGGTGGAAGATATTTACTCGGGCTTCCATTCCTTTTCATGGCCCCTCATTTCTAGACATTTAGGTTTTGTGCCCCCCTTGATCCAATGATAAAATTTTACACCCCCCCTTGCAATGTAGATCCCACAGTGTCAACATACTAGAGTTCTTAGAATAGAACAAGGATACAATTTTCTTATAAAGTCAATATGCAAGTTAACTTTTGTGGGCCCCCTTAAGTGCATCAGAATATTTTCTAGTATTTTCTTAATAGACTCAAAATATCTTTAGGACCCTTTCACAGCATTAATTGTGACCACTCTCATAGGTAAATGAAGACCTTACCTAGAGGCAGTGCCAGATTAGTCTTTTCAGGGCCGGGGGGCAAAACTTTCACAAGAGCCAGTCATGGCTCACAAAAATATGAATAATTTGGTATAAACAAATAGGTGCTTATATATATATATATCTATATATATATATATATATATATATATATATATATATATATATATATATATATATATATCTTTTTTAATAAATTTTCTATTTATTTTCTATTAGCAATGTGGTATGGTTTTCACCAGGGCGCTTAGACATGTATATATATACATATTTATAAGCGCCCTGGTTTTCACTTTTATAATAAGACTTACCTCTTTGGGAAAATTTATGCATATCTGTCCTCTCTTTATTGTATCCAAGAGGGTCTGTATTTGTTTCTCTTTTTTTTTCCCAAAAAATGCTGGCTGTCCCAATGACTTCAATATTTTACCAAGTTCCTTCCCTTTGAATTTTGTCAAAATATTTTTCTGTTCTGAAAAAGGCAGAGTTTGCAAATGAAGTAAAAACACATGTAATGAAGAACTGTTGAAATTGTTTCTCAAGGTTTGTATATGTGATTGATCCACTGTTGTCTGAGTGTGGGATTGATCCACTGTTGTCTGAGTGTGGGATTGATCCACTGTTGTCCGAGTGTGGGATACAGCAGAGCATTTTTTATTTCGACTTAATTGCTGTCGGTGAGCGATGCTATTTTTCTTCGGCTTAAGGCCTTCTTTTTCACGAATTATTTGCTGCTTCGACTTAAGGAAGAAAGTGACAATTCTTTGCAAAACCACAACAGATGCTACCATGTCTGAATTCGGTGTTATTTCATTCCATCTACCTCTCAATTCCTTATTTGTTGACATTTCATCAAGACAAAATTTCAGTATGTTTTCCTTTTCCCTGAGAATATTATCCGGACTTATAGAAGTTCAGTCAATTTGTGCAGATAAATAAAAAAGGATTGACGTGCTCATAAATAATAAAATTGTAGTTGCCATTAGCCTGTTTCGTATCTTCCCCCAATAGTGAGAAAACTGCTAGTGCGGCTGTTTTGCTGCTGAAAATCACTGGCGAATCGTCGTTAACAGTTTCCTTCGCTGGCACTTTATCTTGCCCCTTAAAGATAACATCTCTAGCTCTCTTTACTGCCCACCCAGCATGGCCCCGTACAGTGTCATTGTCCTGGTGTGCATTACTTGTAGAAGATGAATCCCCCGTATCATGAGAGAACGAGAAATGCTCATCATTCCTATCGAAATACTGCTCCTCTGCCTCCTCAAGTCTATCCGCCATATTTTATTATGCAAAAACAACAGACTCGTTACCATACTTCCGCATCACACATCGATCGGCGCGCAATGAGCGCGTTGCACCGCCCTATATATAAGCGCCCTGTTTGTGAGCGTTACGGTGTGCGCTACTCCCACGCGTAGTGATGATGTGCGCACAAGTATTTGTTTACAAAAGGTCATTTGTGCAATAAATGCATTGCGTAAATATCACGCTGCTTGCTTGTCTGTATTCATTTGGATCTTGGTCGGTTTGAATGAATGGTTTCGACGTGATTGTTGACGAGCTGCAGCAAAATCATGTTCAAATCGATAAAGAAACTTTAAAGTTTCATGTAAACACCATGCTTTTAAACCATGGGGGTATATTGCGAGGTGATTGTCGTGATTACGAACAGCTGTACAAAGAAATAAATGTTTCAAACTTTGGTCGACTTTGTACCTATTTAGCTTGCATATACTTAAACTGCAAAAGCGAGAAATGTATACGACGCAATGTTAGGTATTGTATTCCGTCTCTCCGGAATATAAGCGTTCCAAAAGCACAACCAAGCAAAAAATGGGCGATTGTTTTAACATTTTCATGTACGTTATTAGCTTTATATATCAGTTTGTAAACCTCAGGACATTCACTTCGCTGAAACCTTTGTGGCGAGAGGATGACTTGCTGTGGTAAAGCGCTCCCTGAAATCTCAATCAGAAATTTCTTTCGCAAAATACGTTGCATTTCCGCCTGTTGCGGGGGCAGTATTGTAATTCAGGCCATGATGGCCGAAAAATATCTGAGCAACCTATATTACAGCCCAGAAAGTCCAGCAAGTTTTGGTGGCGTAGACGCCCTTTATCGTGCTGTTAGAGACGATGGCAAGTATCAAATATCCCGGAATAAAATACGAGCATGGTTGAGAACTCAAGATACGTACACTCGTAATCGTGTTATAGTAGCAGCTATGGACGAAGAGTGGGAGGCAGATTTAGTTATTATGGACTCATTAGCAAAGTACAATAATGACTACAAGTACATTTTAACCGTGATAGATGTACTTAGCAAGTATGCGTGGGTTGAACCGATAAAAACAAAGACGGGTGAAAATTTGGTCAGTGCGTTTGCGAAAGTTCTTAAAAAGCATCGCAAATCCCGAAACTTTTCACCCAGATAAAGGAACGGAGTTTACCAACCGAGATTTAAAAAAACAAGGTATTCGGTTCTTTACAACGCAGAATGAAACGAAAGCATCAATCGTAGAGAGATTCAATCGTACACTTAAGGGTAAAATGTGGAAATACTTTACAGCAAATAACACATTTTTAGTACGTGGACGTTCTCCAGAAATTGGTTAAGTCCTATAATCACTCGAGGCATCGCAGTATTGGCATGAGACCAGTAGACGTGAACGAAACTAACGAAAGCGCTGTATGGCAAAAACTTTACGGGGAGGAACCCGAAAAACCCATTCGTTTTAAGTTTGATGTTGGCGATCAGGTTCGGATCAGCAAGGCAAGAAGAACATTCAAGAAAGGCTACCTACCAAATTGGACTGAAGAAGTATTTACCGTAACGAAACGCATACCTCGACGACCGCCTGTCTACAGAATTGATGACTACGATAACGATGAGTTACACGGAACATTCTACGAACAAGAATTGCAGAAAGTCAACAAGACAGACAGTGATTTTTATAGAGTGGAACAAATACTTAGATCACGCATACGTAATAAACGTAAAGAATACTATGTAAAATGGTTAGGATACCCAGAAAAGTTTAATTCATGGGTGGCAGCAGAGAGTGTAAAAGATATATAAATAAATATCATTGAACTCAATATCATTTGTGTCCATGCGTTCATCATGACAACACAGTTTTATCTCACCTTGCCGAGTAATAGTTCTATGAGGTCTTTTCCAAATAATACCATAGCAAATTTTCGCGTAAAATTAGCTGAAATGATCGTTCTACCCGGGCAGTGGGAGGTCGCGCTGGCCGGTCTTCATTACCCACACACGTGGAGTACACTAAGACAGGGAGTGCAACAGTCATTTATTTATCATGTGGACAAGCATGAAACTGGTTTGTTAAAAGACACACATTTTGCAACCGTCGCAGACCTTGTTAAAGCGATGAATGCATCCCTGAATAAGGAAGGTCAAACAAAAATAAAATTCACTTATAATCGTAACACTCGCAAAGTAAGCGTTGATGTTAAACACGGGGCTTGGGTGTGGATGACTGGTGACATAGCTGCGACGCTGGGGTTTGGCGAAGACATCGTGATCAAAAAGAAAACGACAAGCCCTTTTGTAGCGGATATAAATGCCCGATTTTCTTCAATGTATATCTATACGGACATTGTAGATGCGCAGTTTGTAGGCGATGTTAAAGTTCCGCTTTTAAGAATTGTTAATATCGAAGGCGAGTATGGAAAGACCGTCCACGCCAGTTTTCGAAATTTACAATACGTTCCTGTGAAAGTGAACTCTTTTGAAACGATTGAAGTCAATATAAAGAACGACCGAAACGAAAATGTCTCATTTGAGTTTGGAAAGTCGATCGTGACACTCCACTTTAGACAAAAGCGATCACAGTACTTTATTTGAAGATGCGTGGAAGACTAGTTCTTGATGAAAAACTACTAAAAGAACATTATTTAAATAATCAACGAGGTGGTAATATTGCGGGATTTCGTGGTGCACGCATGCAGAGGGGTTATGGTATTGGTGGAATTTTCAAGAGCATTGCGAGGTTTGCTATTCCACTTTTCAAGCAAGGAGCAAAAGCGGCGGGTAAAAGGGCAATACAAGCAGCGACAGAAGTAGGTCAGGATGTACTTCAAGGAAAGAATATTTCGAAGTCAATAAAAGCCCGTGGGAAACAAGCTGTCACTGATGTCGCCGATAAAGCTGTCAAGAAATTGATGACTGGTAGTGGACAGAAAAAAGGTATAAAAAGATCAGCACAAGATAAACCCACCATTTCTTCTCGAACCAAGAAGCAGAAAACATCTCTTGATAACTATAAACCAAAGTGGCATGGCTCAAGTCGTTCAAACAATTCATAAAGATTCGTGTATGTGTTCCAAATCTGAACTTGAACTATTTTCTGTACCACCGACGCAAGTAGAAATGGAAAAAGGATTTTGGGAGGATATTGATCCTGTCACAAGCATAACAGCCTCTGACACAATTGAATTCCTTTGCGCAGCAAACTCCGGAGTTTATATCGATTTAGCAAACAGTTACCTACACGTTAAAGCAAAGATTACAATGCCAGATGGTGCAAACGTTGCTCAAGATGTCCAGGTCGGTCCTGTGAACCTATGGATGCATGCACTGTTCTCACAAGTAGAAGTGTTCCTAAACAATAAATTGGTAACACCATCCAGCACGGCCTATCCTTACCGAGCTTATATGGAAACTATCCTGAACTTTAGCAAGGATGCCAAGGATTCTCATCTCACCTCTGCTTTATTTTACAAAGATAGTGCGGGAAAAATGGACAATGTAAACCCGCTAGCTCTTCAAGCAGATGTGAATACAGGTCTAAAAGAACGTCATACACATACTCGTGGGAGTAGATCTGTTGCTATGGAAGGGAGACTGCATTCGGATCTATTTGCACAAGAGCGTTATATTCTAGGGGCTGTTCCTATAAAGATTAAACTGGTTAGATCACGAAACCCATTTTGTTTAGTCTCATCTGCTGAGGACCCAAGTTTCAAAGTAGTTATTGAAGAATGTGTATTTCGCGTGCGACGCGTCAACGTATCGCCAAGTGTAATAATAAACCATTCCCAAGCCCTACAGCATACGACGGCCAAATATCCGATCAATCGCGTCGAATGTAAAGTTGTCACTGCCCCCCGAGGAAACATGTCGGGAAATCAACCCAATATATTTCAAGGTATTCTACCAAATCGTATCGTTGTTGGTATGGTCGATGCAGATGCATTCAATGGTAGTTATGCAAAGAACCCGTTCAACTTCAAGAACTACGACATCACAAATTTTGGGCTGAATGTAAACGGTGAAAACCTACCTGGAAAACCATTTCAACTAAAATTTGCGAGTGCAAGAGGAAGTAACTACATTTCGGCATTCCAAACACTGTACGCTGGGACACATAAAATGTTTGAAAATCAGGGCAATGGTATAACTCGTGAAGAATATGCAGACAGTTTTACACTGTTTGTGTTCGATCTTACTCCAGACCTGTGCCTTGGTGATCATGCACAACCAATTAGAAACGGAAATGTCTCGATCGAATGTCAGTTTGGAACGGCCTTGGTGGCGGCTATAAATATTGTGGTGCTCGGTGAATTTCAAAGTCTTATCGAAATTGACGCGAACAGGAACGTACTGTGTGACTTCACTAACTGAACATGAATACGCTGCAGATTTTGAATATATTAAAAAGCGACTCGTTTACAAAGACTGTATTTACAGACGTTTTACCATCAGATCGTTTACCTGGGCTAGTAAGAAAAGACCAAAAGGTTTTGTAGTCAACACTGATCCGAGTAACAAACCCGGAAGTCATGGTGTGCCTGTTTGTCACAGAAGATGGGCGAGGAGAGTTTTGGGACTCGTACGCGAAAGCGCCAGGATTCTACAGTCAACACTTTACTCGGTTTTTTGAGAAACATTGCAGTACATTTAGTTGGAACACGAGGGCTTTGCAAGCACCCAACTCGGACGTGTGTGGACAGTATACGTTATTCTTTGCCTTGCATCGCTGTAGGCATATTCCAATGTCAACCATTGCAAACATATTTACGGATAGCAAAGATTGGAACGACATGCTTGTACGTGACTTTATACAAAAGTGGTGTGAATAAATACAAATAATGTTAGTTTAAAAATACATTTATTGTAAAAAACATACATATTTACAAAGAAATAAATTATTTTAACCATTTATATGGACTACTGTTTATACTTTACGCTGTTTTTTTCGTTTTTGCTGCATCGGGTAAGATGTGGTTCGGGTGAGGGCTGGGGACATGATCAGAAAGTCCTTTAGTTTTATATTCGCGAACAAGTCCTAAGCGATTTTCGTTTCTGATAACGCCTTCGGGTACGTTTAAATGTCCAACGCCTTCGAAAATAACTCCCAACCTTGTGGATTAAAGTTTTTCCTCTGACGCAATGAATCGTTGACCAAATCGACGATATTTGTTCCGGGTACTGATCTTCCTTTGAACATCATTTGACCTTGTTCATTCCATCCAACGACATCTTTGTTTGCTTTAAGTTTCTTCACCAACTGACGTGCTCTAGATTTCATTGTAGCTGGAACACTATCCAGTATGTCTGATTCAATCTCATCATCATCCTTTATCTCTGGCATTTTTTCTTCTTTATCTTCAGTCACAAAAGGTTCGACGTTAGTCACTCTAATAGGTTTACTCATACGTTTGTCGTAAAAATTTAAGTATCGCTGTAGGGACTGGTCGTACAATTTCGCCCTCTCATCAACGGGCATGTCTTGGCGTTGAAGTAGCTCTTGCATCTCGGAGTCAATTTCACCCACTTGTGCAGTCAAAGGTGGTACGAAAGGTTTCTTTCGTTGTTCAGCCATATGTTCGGGTACAAGGACCAATCTTTTGACGTGTTCCATTTATAGAAAGTTAGCCAATTGTCCCAAAACTGAAGTGAGTTGAAGCGGTAGGAAGCCCTCCCCTTTCTGGACAAGACGTGCTCTTCTTTTTGCAATTGGATTTCGTTTGTCAGCTGCAAACTTTATATGTTTGGAGTGTGGTGCAATCTTTTTCGCTGTTTTTGGTTTCAGTTTAATTGTATCAAACCAGACGTTCAAAAGACACTGTCTTATAGCTTCCAGTAGATCGTCTTCGGTTGCTTTTAAAATAGCTTTTCTCAGTTCGGGTTTACACTTGGCTAATACTTTCAGAAGTTCGGAGTTCCTTTTCATGCAAGCAGACATGGTCAAATGATTGTTTTGCAGAAGTCATGCCTTACTTATACTCTTGGTTGGTAAACGTAATGTTTATCTGTTGGAAAGATACCAGATCTAACTCGAATTTCATCGGGACACGCTGGCGTAAGGTCCACAAACAAATAGGAATAAGGCTGTTTCGTTGCCAACTGGTAGGCTTGTTGGAAATATTTCGTGTGACTAGGATTTAACTGTTTAGCTAGATGAATAATTTGACTTGCATCGCGAACGTTTTTCGTTAGACACAAATAATTTGCATTTAAGGATATGGTACGGTGATCTTTGCTGTGATGAAATAGGTTTTGTACAATGTATATGACACTAAGGTTACCATGATGTGATTTTTTCGTAAATAGTTTTGAAATAACTCCGTCCTTTTCACCCATCATGTCGTCAATGACATATAAATTACGTGTTTCAGGATTAATACTGTCTAGTATATCATCTGGCAGGCCTTGTATGAATTTTATTCTAGGCATTAAATTTTGTATTTCTCCAAACGTATCTTGGTACTCAGCGTAATAGTACACAATATTTTCTGGGGGTTTATCTATCATGACGTTGACATAGCTCAAAAGTTTTTTCACAAATGTAGTTTTTCCCGACTTGGTACTTCCAGAAACTAAGAGGCCAAACGGGTGTGTTAACTGTATGGAGTACATGATGAAAATGAGACTTGTAACAACGTGTCAGACGATTTATACCATTCTCCTAATGATTCTATGCAATTCCGTTAAAACTAAATCCAAGTCCAAATGTGCGCTTTTTGCACGTATAAGATAAGGCTGCCTTTGCGTAGAGGAAAGGTTATGAACACCAGCTGAGTGGTTAGATAATTTCAATAAATTTTTCTTACCACAAATCGGACAGTCTTTACGCGCTCGAGGCATGATGGCAACTGAATACGTCTCGAACCACTTCGCTTATAAGTGGCCCTTCCGGGACTTTTTTTGTCCCTGGTGTCCCTGGAAGATTAAAAGTGTCCCTTCAGGGACTTTTTTTGTCCCTGGTGTCCCTGGAAGATTAAAAGTGTCCCTTCAGGGACTTTTTTTGTCCCTGGTGTCCCTGGAAGATTAAAAGTGTCCCTTCAGGGACTTTTTTTGTCCCTGGTGTCCCGGAAAAGCTAGGATCGGGTTCTTCCCGAGATGCCAACTGAATACGTCTCGAACTACTTCGCTTATAAAAGTGTCCCTCCCTGGACGTGTTTTGTCCCTAAAGCTCTGGATGTGTGAAGGGTTTTTCAAAGAGAAACATATAGCGGGACTGTTTGTCCCTCGCGGGACTTTTTTAGTCCCTAAAGCTCTGGATGTATGAAGGGGTTTTCAAAGAGAAACATATAGCGGGACTGTTTGTCCCTTGCGGGACTTTTTTAGTCCCTAAGGTTCTGGATGTATGAAGGGCTTTTCAAAGAGAAACATACAACATATTGCCATTTTTAAAAGATCAACGATCAGCATTGTCCTAAAGTTGAAGTAGAAGCGTACGGGTTATGATTGAAGAGACATGCAAATGTAAAAACATTCTGCTAAAATCGTGATAACAAGCAAAACAAAATCATAGGCACACACACACTACGCACATACATTAATCGTGATTTTAGCTGAAATTCTTTTTTTTTAATTTGATGGTTCTTAAAAGAACCGGGTTTTTTTTTTGTTTGTCAAAAGTTGATCACGACATCTCTTGCAAGATGTCGCGAATCAGATCTTCCCTCATCTCAGGTAGCCGCAGATTGTTGAATTCTACCAGTATTTCGGGATGTCTCTCAAAGACATACTGGTAGAACTCACGGAGCCTCTCCAGCTCCGCGTTTCTTTCTTTTTCCTCCTCTTTTTTTCTCCTTCGATAGCGCTTGAAGCGGTTCATCTCGAACATGTAGCAGTTATAGTGAATAATTTTTCATTACAGTAAAAATAAAAGGGTTATTAAAGAAGCGTGATAATGCATATAAACAGGGACGCTCATCTAAGTTCAAGGAACTACGAAATAGAGTAGCACTAGAAATCCGTAGGGCAAAGAAGAACTACTATGAAAAGAATATTAGAGGACAGAATAGCGAAGGCAACGCTCGAACATGGTGGAAGAAGGTTTGGAAACTTACTGGAAAGAAAAGAACGCCTATAAATCTCAGTGATCCGGGATCTGGCACTACTTTTGAGGATAACGACGCTGCAAATATGATCAACTCGTTTTTCGCTAATCTAACAAAGGATTTCCCGCCAGTTCAGTCCAAATGGTTATCCTATGGCCAGTGCGATATCCTACCAACTATCACACCGGAAAGCGTTGCAACCAAGCTTTCGTTAATTCAGCCTAACAAAGCTCCTGGCCCAAACGACCCCTGCCTCAAAATAATCAAAATGTTTGCCCATTTCTATGCACTTCCGTTAGCAAACATTTTTAATGCATCATTTGAACAGAAAGTCTTCCCTAAATTATGGAAAGAATTCTACTTAGCTCCAATACCAAAAGTCGAACCATGTATTGAACTGGATGAAATAAGACCGATAGCTCTTACTAGTACAATTTCAAAAATACAAGAGTCATATGTTGTCGATTGGATGTATACTGACATAGAGCCCCAAATTTGTAAAGATCAATATGGTGGTGTTCCAGGTTCGTCAGCGATCCTTGCACTCGTTCACCTTGTGCATAAATGGAATCAAGCTTTAGAGCTACCACAACGAGTAATAAGAATTGTCTTCCTTGATTTCCGCAAAGCGTTCGACATAATTGATCACAATGTATTATTGGATAACTGCTGCAAAATAGGGATTCGACCTGGGCTAATCAGTTGGCTTGGATCTTATTTGAGTAACAGGACACAAGCGACAAGGTTTGGTAATGAAATTTCTACACGCTGTACGGTCAATGGAGGAGTGCCCCAAGGTAGTCGTATCGGTCCATTGGCGTTTATCGTTCATATTAATGATTGCAAACGGTGATTAATGATGATCGGAACACCGGTGCTAACGATAATGATGAAGATCTTACTTTATTTATGGACGACACAACAATGTCGGAAATCATTAACGTCAGCGACCATGTCTCAGGATCACAAGTTGGTAGTGCGTACGATAATGTTAGAAAAATCATGGATTTTGCTTCGTCTCAAAAAATGGAATTAAACCTTAAGAAATGCAAAGAAATGCAGTTGGACTTTCGTAAGAATAAGACGGTCATCCCGGCACTTACATTTAATAATATAACTTTGGAGAGGGTCTCTACATTCAAATTACTTGGTTTATGGGTGAATGATAATTTAAAGTGGGACACAAATACTGACTACATAACAAGGAAGGCAGCAAAAAGACTTTTTCTATTAAAAGTTTTAAAGAAATACGGCGCGGACATCAAAGATATGAAAAGATTTTACACCTCAGCCATCAGGCCCACACTCGAATATGGGGCGCAAGTTTGGCAT